CCTCGCCGCGCCCGCACTGCGCGTGCGCCGCCCCGAACAGGTGATGTCCGCCACGCCCACCCGCCCTGCGTCGCGTCGCGCGTCGGCGCCCGGGCAGCGACTTAAAGGTACCGGAGGCTGCGGCGGTACAAGGCCGGGGCCAACCGCGGACGCTTCTTTCAGGCATGTGGCAGGATGCCCCAACCCGAGTTTTCGCAAGCTCGATTTAAGGGTGAGGGGATTGGGAGGGGCGATGGCTGCCGCTTTGCCTCCTGGGATTTGTAGTTTTGTTGCGGGGGGAGGGGATTGCTTTTGCACCCCCCCTCCCCTCCGCCCCAAGGATTTTTAAAGCTCCTAGGAAAGGTTCAGGTAGCTAAAGATGAAAGAGAAAGAATCATTCTACTTTTGAGGCAAATCTCCCAGGATGAGATAAAATGGCCCTTCTAGAACTTTCACAAAATCATTAGATTTAGACTTTCCAAAGTGATGGATTAGTAGGTAGGTAAGAATTTAAATGATTATGCCTTGCGCCGATTCCTCAGTGAACTACACTAACGTAAAGAATTATGGGAAATTGTCCACCAAGAGAACATCAGGTTGTTAAATATGTTGTTACAGTAGTGGGAAACTTGGAAATTATGGTTTCAAACCCTCTTCACCCCCTTTATTGTGGCTTTATTTTACAAATGTAAAGAGAAGAGAAAAGCCCAGTAGGTAAATCTCATTCATCACCCAGCTGCTTAGCAACAGAGATGCCTACATTTGGAGAACCCCACCACCACCACCACACACACTTACTACTCCTGTCCTTAAAGATTATTCCCACCATTGCTGGATCTGAAACTCCAAATTTCCCATATAATGTTTTCTCAAAACGTGTATTCAGTGTCTCAACTTTTGAGCTTAAAGAGAGCAAAAGCTAAGAAACAGAATTGAATTATTAAACAGATTTGAATAGGCTTTCAGAAAATAAGTTTCCAAGTTTTGGCAAAAATCATCTCTATGTAGTGGCTCTGGACCTTCCACTTCTTTTAAAACTAAAAATTGGCACAGATGCAACAATCCGTGGCTAAATTTATTGTATTTAAAGATGGCTACTCAGGAGAGGAAATTGCATTATTTGTTGTGTCATTAGAAACTGATCAAATTTTGGTTCTCTGATAGTATATTGGGGATGTGACTTGAAAGTCAACACTGCAAAAGTCATTTGAGATAAAGAGGATGTTCTCACAAACAAATTAAGCCTAGGCAATCAGACGTTCTGATAATCCCATCTAGAGGCAAATAGAATATGCTAATGCTTTTTAAAGGGAGTTTACTTCAAAGGACATAATTAGACACAAAATCTTGGATCTTGTAGTACTTCTTTTTCAGAACCAGCAAGAGTTCCACAGTGGACAATACGTGGAAATTGGTAACATCTATAGCCAATGGGCAAAGGGGAGATTCACTTGTTAACTGTTTTCGCAGGCTTTGTGGGAATAAAATATTATTTGATGTTTGTACAACCACAAACCACAACTTCAAACTGTAGCTTTAGAGTAATGATTACGCTGAGAAAATACCCCATTAATTTTTATATACTCCTGCTGCAGATGGAAAGGAACCTGCCAAGTAGTAAGAAAAAAGTCAGTGATGATCTGTATGAAAATTAAGAAAATTAGTAACTTGTAAGGTTGGAGTAAAATATGGCCCATTTTTGAAAAATGTACATTCTTTTTCTCCTTTTTACCCTTCCCCGAGAAGCAGACTCCATCAGAAAATGAAAATGAATTGCATGGTGGGAAAATAAATGGACTGTTAAATGGGACTAGAGAACCAGAGCACTGAGGACATGTTTTCAGTGTTGACTTTCAAAAATGACTTTGTCTTCAGGACCTTGTTGATGCCGAGTTTTGCATAGCTATTTTCTCTTTCAATCCTCAGGCTAATTTGATAGTTCTTGGGAGATGAGTTGTGGGTGTTGTTTTGTTTTTGAGACAGGGTTTTATGTAGCCCAGACTGGCCTGGAACTGGTGATGTAGCTAAGAATGGCTTTGAATAACTCCTGCTTCTTATGTGGGGCTTGGGATACTAAATCCAGGTCTTCATGCTTACTAAGCAAACACTCTACCAACTTAGATGTGAACAGAAACACCAAAGCAGAGTTAATGCTTTCCTTATCTGTGAATTACTAGAAATGTGAAGTACAACTCAGATAGTGTGGAATGGGCAGAACTCAAGTGGTGTAGAATGTCACAAAAGTTCTTATTTTCAGGGGCGGACTATCAATTTAGTAGAGTAAATAGGCTGGTGAGGCCCTACTTAAAATATCTGTTACCCTGTGCTCATTATATAGTCACACTAATGGCATTTTAATAAATCTGTATTTAATAGAAAATAGTTTACAACTAATTCATTCAGCCTGATACATTGATCAAGAAACAAATCAATTTCTGAAATCCTTTACTTATGCATGCCTTATATCCACCTAAAATAGTAGCTCCAGAGAATGAAGTCTTTTCATTTACTTCTTATCTCACTTTCCTATATAGATTATAATGTAATAGATAATATGATGGGTAGCAATTAAAGGCAACTGGGAAATGATACCTTGAAAAACAGCCCATTTCACCCATGTCCTGGCAACTATTATTCATGCTAATGCACTAAAAAATAAATAAATAAATAAATAAATAAATAAATAAATAAATAAATAAATAAATAAATCACACCTGTTACCATATATGAAATACCTGAACTAAATCCTTGAAATAAGTGAAATTATAGTAGCTTGAACATTTAGGAGGGAAAGTTGAGGGGGGTGAGGAAAGGACAAATAAGGAAAGCCAGGTGAGGAGGGTGAGTAGTTGAGGAGGGCAGGGAGGTACACTTGTGTACTATAAGATGCACTGAAGATATATTGCAAGGTATGCTGGGCTCATAAAGTACTGGTCTCAAGTGAGTCAAGACTCATCAAATCCATAAACTTCATAGTGGGACTTCCACATGGCCCATCAAGAGGTAAAGGAGATTTCTTTTCTGCCTTTGCTAGAACCAAAACCATTTTTGTTCTTGTTTTGACAGAAAACAACCAACCTTCATGTATAAACCTACATGGGAATGTTATGTAATTCCCAATTCAACCTAGCAGCTTTGCCTTCTCTGTATCCTGATATCTCAAGGTGTTAAGATTACATGGAGACAAGTGTACTCCCTAAATTCTAGCATCACAGCTAAGGCTACTGAGGCCACTAAGTCCCATGACTAAGCTGAGCCCCCTGCTGGTTACAATAAACTGGGTGTAAATGACAGGACTAAGCAGTAAACACAACATCACAAAAAGAATCGTGATGATGATGATGATGATGATGATGATATCGACAAGATTAATATAAAAAAGTACTATTAAGTCACATGGTTTTGTGGTTTCAGTTAAACTATATAACCGATAATGCTAGATTTCCATGCTGTGATTATATGTGATTATTCAAAGTTCATTTTTCACTATGTTCCATATAATTACTATTTACTGTATTTATAATTCCATGTAATATAAAACTGAGATTGAGATTTTGTTCAAATCTCCTAGATCTACTCTTCTACACTATAAAATAGTAAGGTCCAATTATCTTGAATACTTACATGTTTGTTTCATGAAAAGTCACAATGAAAATATATGTTTAAACTCTAACAATAACCAAGTACAAAGTTATATTAAACCATGCAAAACTTACCCATAAGAAGTTTTCTGGGCCGGTGAATACCCTAACTGTCATCACAGAGCTTTTGTCCAGTGACTGATGGAAGCAGATACAGAGATCCACAGCAAAACACCAGGCAAAGTTCCAGGAATCCAGTCGAAGAGAGAGAAGAGGGATTCTGTGAGCAAGTGCACCAAGATCATGATGGGGAAACCTGCAGAGACACCAAACCAAACTAGTGGGAACTCATGAAAGTTGGATCAATGGCTGTGGAGCCTGCATGGGACTGGGCTAGGTGCTCTGCAAGACGAGACAATTGTGTAGACTGATCTGCTTGGGGCGTGGGGCTGGCAGTAGGATCAGAATCCATCCCTGGTGCTTGAGCAAGCTTTTTGGAGCCCTCTACCTATCATGGGACACCTCATGCAGCCTTGAGGCAGAGGGAAGGGCTTGAACTTGCCTCTACTGGATGTGCCACTCCATGGGAGGCCTTGATTTCTTGTGGGGAGGAGTGGGGATGCGTTGGAAGGGGGTGTCTGGGGGGGTGGGAGGAGGGAAGAGGGGGATCTTTGATTGGTGTGTAAAATGAATGGAAAAATTTTCTTAATAAAAAAAGTTTTCTGGGGGATGCTTACACATACATATTAGAAACTGCTGAAGGAGGAGAATGACATTCTCAAGACCCTATGTAAGACAGCTGTCTAGATAACCTTGTTCAGATCTCTGGAGGACATTTGAGGTCAGAGGTTGAAAAATACTTGTGAGAAATTGCAAATGCAATATAAATTGTTATATATTGTATACTGTTCCCTTTGATATAAATCAATTGAAGCCCATTACTATTCATGTTAAGATACCTAATGGAGCTGAGATGACACCATCTAGGGAATGCTTGGTGTTATTAAGGCTCACAATATGTGGAAAGTCAGATATTGTGAAAAAACAAGTGTAGGTTTACTTAAATTTCTCTGCAGAATTGAAAAGGAGACCATTTGGACTGGGGAATGGTGTGGATTGTAGATCAAATTAGTAGATGAATATGGGAAGTAGGGAATTTAGTGCCACTTATTTTGGAAAGGGGAAATGTCTTCAGTGC